TAAACTTAAAGTACTACAAAAGATTTTCCCAGTAACAATAATAAAGCAACCATTAGGAGCCGATATAACTTTAGAAACAGATAGAGGTACAGATTTGTGCACTAGGACTGCAGTCCCACGAGCCTTACTTGAAAATGCCTACCCAACCTTTACGAAGCTTCAGATGATTAGGTGGTTTAAGGTAGGTTTCCTGCAAAAAAGCAATTTTAGTGTTTAAACTGTGATCAAACACTTTATTGCGTTTCACAGGTGAATTCAATGCCTTCACATTCCAGTTGATAAATCTCAAAGCACCGCTGGATGCCGAAATGGTGTTACGATTTAGCATAAGTGTCTTTTAGAGGAAATAATCCAACAAAAATCTGCAGCCATGACAAATTCCCGAAAGCAAAATAGAAGGTGGTAGCACGCACATTAAACATACCAACCCCAAACCAGTTGCCAAAAAAAGAACAGCAACGAACAGCACTCTGATACAAAGATCAGTTTAGACTTCCTTGTACCAATCGCACTGCCCCCACATTAAAGTGTAAATATATTTAAAGTACACGTTAAACCTTATCAATCGAACATCTCAAAAGAAAACACAGAGCCGTGAAACTAGAATTTATGCGAACCGCACGGGCTATATAGCTATGTAGCAAAACTGCTTTAATCTTACAGCAAAACCACCGTGCAAGGGAGTTTGGAGTGTGACTGTTTGAGGTTGTGGACTGGTGTCTTTTATACTGATAACGAGTTCAAACAGATACCATTAATACAGGTAACGTGTGGAGGACAGAGGAGCCTCTTAAATAAGAAGTTACAGGTCTGTGAGAGCCAGAAATCTTGCTTGTTTGTAGGTGACCAAATACTTATTTTACCGAGGAATTTACCAATTAATTCTTTAAAAATCCTACAATGTGATTTTCTGGATTTTTTTTTTCTCATTTTGTCTCTCATAGTTGAGGTATACCTATGATGAAAATTACAGGCCTCTCTCATCTTTTTAAGTGGGAGAACTTGCACAATTGGTGGCTGACTAAATACTTTTTTGCCCCACTGTACATATGTCAAGATTCAAAACTAAAAATGTACGGTACTCACGGAATTACAGTACATAGTAAGGCGAGAATTATAAAAAAATAAAATAAAAATAAAAGAGGAGTCCTCACCGCAATAGTAGCAACAGCTCAACAAGTCATCAACAGTGTTGGGGGTAACGCATTACAAGTAACGCGAGTTACGTAATCAGATTTTTTAAGTAACTAGTAAAGTAATGCATTACTTTTTTAATTTACAAGAAAATATCTGAGTTACTTTTACTGTACTCGGCTCGCTGTTTCAATACGTCGGGGCTGTAGTCATCAAACATGCAAATCGGATGCCCCTTATAATGCAGGACGCCCCGTTTGCAAGCATCGCGGATTACAAGGTCTTTAACTTGAAATCGGTGAAAACGCAAGATGACGGGCCGCGGTTTTCCTCCCGCCGCTGGCTTGGGAGCACGACTCCGATGCACTCGATCTATCTCGGGGGGTGAAGTGAGGACCTCTGGACCAAGCACATCAATGAGCAATTGAGAGAAAAATGCTGATGGACGAGGGCCTTCAGTCGATTCAGGTAATCCAATGATCCAAATGTTTTGACGTTTGCTGCGTCCCTCCAGATCAGCTACTTTGTGTTAGAGCAGATGCTTGTCTTTCTGCAACGCAAAGTAGGGGCCCTCAAGTTGCTGGAGCCATTGGTCAACTGAAGTAGCGTTAACTTCGAGAGAATCAATGCGTTGTCCGTGATCGTTAATAGTTGATTTAATGCTATTCAGCGTAGAAGCAAGGGACTCGAGTAAGGATTTGAAATCGGCCAAAAGGACCGCTCTGTGTTCGTTCAGTAGCGAACTTATATCAGCCATAGAAATCTGCTAGCACTCCTTGTCCTTTTCTGCGAGTTCTCCTTTAGCTTTAGACATGATAAGGTGATCCAAACAATTACAGCCCGTTTATTAAACTTTGTTGGCACTACAGATGAGAAAAGAAAGGTTTAACAAGAAACTTACAAATAAAACTGCGGGAGCGCGCTAAGTGTGTGACTACTCTGCACACCCCATAACCAGAAGTCTCGAGACTCATTTTAAAGCGGATTACATTACATGACAAATTTTACACACAACAATGTCAATTTTGACTGTTTTTGTTCTATTTTTTCAATAAAAATAGTGGGTCATGCTACCCATATCTCAGCAACACAGAATGGTGTTTCGTTACCAAATAATTCAGCGTTTGTGAACAAATCAGGTGAGTCAAGGATTCAATGACCCATTCATAAACACAATGGTCACTTACTTTGTTCATAAATAAATCAGCCGGTTTGAAAAAAATGGTTGAATTAATGATTCTTTACAAATACATACATATATAATAGTATTTTTCCCAGCGTTTCATACACTGAACAAAATTATAAATGCAACACTTTTGTTTTTGCCCCCATTTTTCATGAGCTGAACTCAAAGATCTAAGACTTTTTCTATGTACACAAAAGACCTATTTCTCTCAAATATTGTTCACAAATCTGTCTAAATCTGTGTTAGTGAGCACTTCTCCTTTGCCGAGATAATCCATCCACCTCACAGGTGTGGCATATCAAGATGCTGATTAGACAGTATGATTATTGCACAGGTGTGCCTTAGGCTGGCCACAATAAAAGGCCACTCTAAAATGTGCAGTTTTATCACACAGCACAATGCCACAGATGTCGCAAGTTTTGAGGGAGCGTGCAATTGGCATGCTGACTGCAGGAATGTCCACCAGAGGCTAAAAAGAGACCAGCCACCCAGACAGCTGCTGCAACAATCGGTTTGCATAACCAAAGAATTTCTGCACAAACTGTCAGAAAC